ACTTGAGTATTTCTTAGTGATTTTACTGTCGGGGAACATTTTTCTAAAAAAGCTGCAGCATGATCTGATACGTTCAGCAGCAGGTCATGCTCTAATAAAAAGGCAGAACAGGCATTCTGCCATTAATAAATTTTTGGTCCTTTGTTTCCAAAGAAAAATAAAAAAAATTTTTTTTCAGAACAACTCACGCTATCCTTGTGTAAGCACATATTTAAAAAAAAATCAGACTTTCCTCCATGTTAAATCGAAAATATCGCAATGACAAACAATACACATCACAATATTACATTTTCTTAACGAAATAATAGCAGGAAAGTCATCTGTATATGATTTTTGAAAAGTACAGTGTGAAAAAAAGGGAGGGACAGTTCTACATCTTCCGTTCTACTGAGCCGATCAAATTGCGTTTTCCATGTCTCGAAAGTACAACTTAGGATATATATTAGATTTATATATAGCATTGTTCTAACATAGGTATTTTGACATAAAATCAGAATTTTTCTGAAATGATGTACCTAAGTTTTTACATACTTCGATTCTAAAACACTCAAATTATGCCTAAAAATTAAATTTTACAAAATTTGGTTAGAAACTTATTCAAATATTAAAAAAATTTGTCTTAGCGCGCATTTTTCAGTTCAAGCCAAGAATAATTCACTTGACGAACTTCTTAATATATGGCAACCTATTTTTCTTTCCCTTCCATTGTGCAAGAGAGGAAAAAAGTCACATCGTGCCTACCTTTTACATTGTGGATGAGCGGTCACACAAGTCACATGGTTCCTACTTTCAAATAATTTTAACAAAGTGCGTAAATCATACTTTTGTTATTATCGCTTTCAACAAATATACCAAATTTCAAAACATGCCAATATATAAATTCACATACATCTTCGGAAATTTTGAGTAAAAGCTCTAATTTTTTGCAGGTATGCTTAGAAATACAGCTACTTTAAGATGATTGTAAAAATTTAAAAAGTTATAGTTTAAAATTTTTTTGAAAAATTTATGAAAATCATTTAAAAATACAAACTGAGAAAATAAACCATAAAAAATGGGCAAATTTTATTTGGAATGAACCTAAATTTCGAACTGTCTAGGAAGGAATCAAATAAGTTTCATAATGTTGAGGAGTTAAAATTTTGAGAGCTAATTTTTTAAAATCTACTCGTGTGACTTTTAGAAAACTTGGGAGTTTGGCATAATTTGAGTCATAGAATAAAAATATGGAAAAAAATGGCATGCCATTTCAGAAAAAGGTCCGATTTTGTGTCAAAATACCTATATTTGAACAATGCTATATATAAATCTAATACATATCCTCAGTCGCGCTTTCGAGACATGAAATACGCAATTTGAATTTCGTCATTCGGCTAAGTAGAACGGGAGATATAGAACTGTCTCCCCCCTTTTTTGTACACATGCTCAGTGTACATGAGCATTTCACCTTTTTCGTGGACATAGCTAAGACAAATGATCGCAATTTCTTAAACTGTTTCACAGAAGCATGTAAAACTTATGCTACTGGTCAGAAATTGGGAGTCTGCTGCTTAAATCGGAAGAGTTGGCAACTCTGTATTTACATGGAGAAAACTACTGACCATGTTCGAGTTTCTATTTTTCGACTATGTTATGGCCTGTTGTCGCTATGCTTTTAACTTTAAAATTTATGATTTAAGCAATTTCCGCCCCCTAGGCCAATCTGAACTACTTACATATTTCACATTGGAACTTTTTTTCAGTATTTAAAGCAACAGGAGGCTATTTTATATAATTTCTACAAAATTAACCCTCATTTTTTTTACTTCCTTGTACTAAGTAAAGTAAGTTTTGTAAACATGAAAAATTCCGGGAATGATATTTCAAAGGCAATATCCACTAAGAAATACATTTAAAGTGAAGAGCAGCAAAAATACGTATAATTTAATAGGCCATAAAAGGAAGTTGTGTGGTGTCCACATCAGATTTTTTTTAACAGTCTAAGAATTTCATCTTGCACTTAATTTCCTCCACTTAGCTTATGTGATCCATTTAAGCAATGAGAGCAGGAAACTGTTTAAAGTATAACTGTATGAAATATTTGAAATCTAAATTATGCTATTTGCAAGGCAGAAAAGTTCCATGAATTTTTGCTGCTATGGAAATTACCTTGATAGCCAGCATACTAGTCCAGATAAAATGAAGAACTGGAATATGCATGTTGTTAGCACAGTGTGACAAGACAGAAAAGAGTTTCTTGACTCAAAGAAGAGAGAATACATAAGAGATAAAAAGTCAAGCATGGTGTTGAACAACAAAAGGGATGTAGTACTCGACAATATTTTTCATGACCATGCATTTGAAAATAAAAATTCATAACAGGGAATTTGAAAACATAAATTAAAAAAAAAAGGGAATAATTATATACAAATTTTGTACTATTATAGAATACAAGAACATGGGAGATGAGGATAGGAGGAATTCCCAAACAGCCATAAGTATACTGAAAATGCATAAATTTTTTCCCCCACCATTTGCTGGGCATTGCATATTTCAACAAATACTTTTGTGTGTATGGGAAGGGCTTTGAAAAATGCAGAAAAAATTTCAACATTGAGTGAGGAGTCAATCACATCTTTTCCACTCATTTGAATATTACTTTACTTATTACGTGCTCCGCCCTTAGGCACATAGAAAGAGAGGGATGCCCTATGCAGGTCTTTTTAAAGAAAACTGGCTCATATCCCACAAAAACTCCCATGCAGCCAGTCTGTTCCCCAAAACACGAATTCCTGAGCGAACTACCAGTGTTCAGTCTGCTTTTACTGTTTGGCTGCTCGTGGACATCATTGGAATACTAGTAGGACATTTTTTTAAAAAAATCCAACTGATATGACTAAGACAGTATTTTTCCTGATTTTTTGCTCACTACAATTAAACAAAAGGCTAACAAGGAGAAGTGTAGGTAGGTGCAGGAGAAAGGGACCTTTTAAAATACTCCTTACTAGTGCTCAGAAGATGAAGTTCCTTTGTATGCATAACATTTTTTTTTAAACATTTGAAATAGAAAATGCAATTATGTCAAAGTAATTTTTTTTTCTTTCCCACATTATTTACATTTAGTTCATTTTGATTTCAATTCTTAACTGTAAAACATGTAAAGATTTATTTCTGCGTATGAATACAAAGCTTGCTAGTTCAATACTTCAAGAAATTACTCACTGGGCAAGGTACATTGGGCACAAACTATCTTCTTAAGATGCCAAAAATAGTTCACATGGCTTACAGGAAATCTTTGTTCTCTTTTAATTCAGACAAATTAAATTCCACAGCTGTTATTAAATAATTGCTTTGATTACACAGAAATAAAATCCAATTATAAAATACAGCTTTAATTTTTTATCAAGTTTTACTATAATTCTATTACAATTCCTAAGAATACTTTTCATTCAGATACATTTAATTTAAGTATATATTTATATTAAACACATCCTTAAAGATTTTTTGTGAGACAATAAAATCAGAAAAATACTGCCATACACTTCGAATAAATATGCAAAACTATATACCTTAAACTGTTTGCAAAAACAATTTTCTTTCCAGCATGAAAAATAACAGTAGTACTAAGTAGTAACATAAAAGGGCTCTACTCTTATATGCACCCTAAGATCATCAAATGTGGCGATATGTATTCTGCGCTGGTTTTTGGTGCGATTGTGTGTTGTATGGCAACCCTTTTGATGCTGAAAATTCCTTTGCTGGAGTGGTTTAATTGCTTGTTGCTTTGTATCATGCATGTTTTGAAATGGCCTATGTTGCAATGATAGACATGGTGGCAAGATTTCAGTCGCATATTTTAGATTGTGGGAAATACATTTCGTATAAAAGGTACGTGTTGGAGTTGTTAATGAGTTTTTGTTCATGGGTGTGTTATGAGGATTGAGTATTTTTGGAATTTCTGTGAGACTTTTAAACGTAGTCCAAATGCGTATTTGCAATGAACTCGATAAGAAGGGCGTTTCGAAGTTTCTCGTGTGATTGCAGTCAAATGCTGCTGTAAAAGTATGTGCTGTCAGCGGAGTTTATTTGATCGGGTTTTCGTGTAGCAGTTAACTTGGAGAATTTTCAAAAAATCGTTACGTTCGAATTTTGAACGCAGAAGACTGTGATAAGCCAAATCGTGGCATTTTTTTCACAGACGTTGTGTGACTGGCGAATTTATTATGAGGTATTATGGTAAGGCATTTTATTTTAACTGTGTTTAATTTGTAAAATGTATGTTCATTTTTTTTTACTATAATTTCTGTTGTGATGTTTTTTTTGAACTGTTTGTAATTTTAGTTTATTTTGTTGATTTGTGCACAATGGCTATTGTGCAATTCGTTGATGTTTTTTTTTTTTGAGTTAAAACAGAATGCTGTGTACCTGGTATTATTTGAAATTTACTCTTGTTATGTTAGTTTATTTTAGTGAGGTGTAGGTAATTCCTAGATTCTTATGCTGCATAGATTGTGCAATTCTCTAATTTTTTTCAAAGTTAAAACAGATCTTTGTGTACGTGGATTCTTGACAAATATTTTTGGTTAGAAACTTTACGTTTTTGCTATTTTAATTTTTTGTTTCAGAGTTTGGGGATAAATTATGTGTTCAAAACATGGCTTTTGCATGTGCGAAAACCACGTTTTTGGAGACATTTTAGGCTTAAAGTTCGAAATGTAGGCAAAAAATTTAGATAGTAATATGGCAGCGTGGAGTTTCTCATAAAAATGTTTGGCGAGAAATTTGGCGGTGCATATAAGAGCAGTTCCCATAAAAGCATACAATGATATGACACAAAGGATATAGTTTTTAAAAGCTACAGAAAATTAGTCTTAACTTATAAATTAATGAATTCACTTATACAATCAAATATTTCTTTTATAGAAAGGGAATTAATCACAAAACATGCAATAACTGTTTTTATGTTTAGAGAGAGAAACAGAGAGGGGGGAAAAGTAGAAAAATCAACTGCTATACAAAAATACTTGTTCTACAAAATTTTACTCATTTTCTCTAATTACAATAATTAACTTCCTATTAGCTTATTCACAAAGCTTTCAATCTGATCTTGATCTTGCACTCCAATAAAAGAACTCTCTTTCTGTCCATTTTTATATGCTATTACATGAGGTACTGCTTCACCTATATTAGAAATAGAAAAAAAAAAAAAATATATATATATATATATATATTATATATAACGTTCACACATATTAATATTTATATATAGGTTTGTTATACAGCCAAATTCTGATAGGTGAATACTGAAGGAAAAAATGCTAGGTAACAAGACATTCCATGCACAAAAAATGCCTATGATTCCATACAGATGTATTTGGTAATAATCAAACTAACATATAAATACTTTTCAGCAAGCCCATATGAGGAACTGATATTCTAAAAATTTTTAATATATAACGAAAGTTGAAATAAAATTAAAATCAAGAAATTTAATATTATAATTTTCAGTGACAATGTTTACAGCATAATGTCATTCCTGAAATAAAATGATGCAGCACTCTGGAGAATAATTACATGAGATCATATGGTTGACACTTTAAATCTACGACATAAATTTATAAAACTGGTTTTACTCTATAATAAAATAATTACTCCATAAAAACCTTTTTATTTATTAATTACTATTCAAACTTTCTGTGGTAAGAATGAAAACAAATTAATTCATATAGAAACAAGACTAAATACAATAGCAATAAAAACTTGTTTTATATCAGAACAGTACAAGTCTGTATCGACGCCATTTCCGAATGATCTATAATCTACCCTCAACCACATTTTTTTGTAGCTTTACGCGTGTCGTTTAATGTATAACGGATGGTATAAGCTAGGCTAAAATTATCTTTACTGAGTCTAGGCTTCAGTTAATTCTTAATTTCTATTGGATCCGGCCTATTTTTTTTGCGACTGTTAGAGGCATTTCATAATTAAGCTGAACTTTCGATTATGTTCAAAAAGTTTCCAATTGTGGAGTTCCAAAAGACCTACAAGCGAAAATGTTTTGAGTCCATCAAACAAAATGGAATTGCTGAAAAATGGATACGGCATATCTCTCAAATATGCGAGGAGTATACATTGGAAGTCAATTATATGATAGCATAAGAAAAAAGGAACTTTTTGAATTTTTGTGGATCCACACCCACTTGCAATGAATAACAAAAAGGGTTGTTATGCTAAAGTGACGATATGACAAAGTGAGGTGTATGGGTCAGACGCATCGCAGCGAGGGCATGCCATTGACGGCCAATGCCGATGGTTCAAGGCAAAATATTTCATGAAGAAATGAACTAAACCTGATGCACATATCAACAGATTGGTTGACCAATTTAAAAATGCCAAGGTATAGAAAAAAACCAGAAAAATTTCAGGGTGAAAGCTCAGCTGATACTGAAGCTGCTGAACAATTTGAGATAATTATGAACTCACTACTAGGAACAATTATCTCCAGAACAAATTACAATGCAGATGAAACTGGTCTTTTCTGCAATACGTCCGCAAAATACTTGGCACCTCTACGAAAAGGTTCCACTGTGTCAAAGATTTCAAAGCGAGACTAATTTTAGTTGTGCATGCTTAGGAAAGCAAAGTACAACTTTTTGTATTGGAAAACATGCCGACCTCGACATTAAGGAGTAATGATTTCCCGTTATATATCACGCATAAAAGAGCCTGATGAACAAGCGTTGATGAATGATTGGTTTGAAAAATTATACCTAGGCTCGAGACCTTTGACGGTTGGTTTACCTGATGACCAAAATAGTCTTGATTGTGACACTTAAAGTTTTATAAAGATAATTATCCTATTTTCTTCTCTCCAATGTACGTCTATCATTCGGCTATGACGTGAACGCCTGAAATGCAATAACGTAGCATTTTTAAAATCTCGTTACAATTTCTTGAACAATGGCAAACTATTAATTTTTAAAATTTTTTAGCATAAATCTGCTGTGTGGAGCATAGCAAATTGTGGGAGGTGCGTCTCAGATACGTAAAAATGCTTGGTAATTATGGCCATCTATCATATTCATGGTAAGACGTGAATGATAGCAGTGAATTTGAGTTTTCGACATCGAACTAAAGATAAAGTTTCCATTATTATATTAGTAAAGAAATGTGGAAAACAGAATAAATGAAGATATAAACAGAAGGTTTTTCATTGTGACTACACTGCCCCATATGAATCAATTAAGGCCAGCGAAATCTGTAGTATGGTAGATCCAAAAATACCACTTCCGATAGTGAAAAAGTGACAGAGAGGTTACTGATAAAAAATTTCGATTACAAGTAGTCGGTATTCTCGACACAGCAATTACAGGACTTGAACAGTGGAAATTTACATGACATGAATTATGTCTGTTATAGAATTAAAGAGAAAGTTTAGCACAAATACAAAGCACTTAAAAATTACATGAAATAATGTTTAAAGTAATAATAAATATTAGCTTTTTTTTTTGTAAATTTATACCTTTTAGATTCATAAAATGCTCTTTATTCATAATCATGATTTCATTTTTAATTTTATAATTCCTACATGCCATCTTACCAGATTTAAATTGATGATCTATAATCCGGAGGAACCCCTAATCCGGAATTGCCAAAATTCCGACGAGTCCAGATTACAGACTTTATCAACATTTGGTGTTTGTATATGATTAATCAGGATTATTTTCCGAAATAAACTTAAAAATACTAATAAATCAGGATGAGTACCACAAATATTCAACAGCAAAATATCATCTTTTTGTAGAAATTATTTCAATGAAACAAATACAAGACTTGAAAAATAATTTGCAGGAAATATTTTTAAATTAAACATTTAAAGTCTAATATGATTAGAAAATTTAAGCACATAAATAACAGAAGTTAGCAGGAAAGCTGCCAAAAAAATAAATTCTAAAAATTACTTCACTGATTAGTTCAACACTTCTTAAAGTATTATTGTAACTAAAGGGGGGATTATTCCTACATAAATTTGAAAAAAATTATACCGCGGAATGTTCTAATATGCATGATAAAATATTTAATTCCTCAACTATTAAAGCTGTATATATACACTCAAATTCTCACTTTCTTAATGCATCAGTTGTGGCCAAAATGTGGACACTTTGGAAATTTGTATGTTTTTGGTTTGTATACTTATAGAAAATGTTAAGTTTCAAAACTGCAAATTGTATGTATATATCATTTAAAGAGAATTTAGTACTGAATCACACAAAACACAAAATTCAATTATTGCAATAAAAAAAAAGTTATTATGATAATATTACGATAACATAGATATGCTGATTGCAGTGAGTGATCAGTACAGTCAAAAGTCTTTAATCGGACTCGTCGGGATTCGGCGATTCCAGATTATAGATACAGTTAATCTGGTAAATGGCATGCAAAATTATAAAATTAAAATATGAAAAACCGTTTTTATAAAAAATGAACAATTATGATTCAAGGGTATCAATTTACCAAAAAAGAACTTATATTATTGTTTACTTTATTAAACATTTCTTTTAACGCGCGGATGCGTAAAGCATACTTATCATAGCCGAAATTAGAAAAATTGCAACCGAAACTAGTGATTTGTATCGTGATATTTATAATGATGAGAATTGATTTAACTCATATCAAAGACGGAGTACCTCGAAATAAATCTAATTTAAGGAATTATGCCGACTAAATAAAAACATCTGCCTGAAGAACGATAGTGTTGACAATCAACTCCAGTTCATTGCGGCGCCGCGACCCCCCACCCCCGCACAGAGCAGGTGAAGTGATAACAATCGAACGTTAGTAAAAAGGATGCTTATCCTTTTTTTGAGCATTCGTTTTTTTGATGGACATCGAAACATACTTTGGTTTCTAGATCCTTTGGGAGCTCCACCCGGAAATTCTATTTGACATAATCGAAGTTCAAGCTTACTTTTAGAAAAAATTGCTCTTACAGTCTGCAAAAAATATAAGCGGATCCAATTTGAAGTTCGGAAAATGCATTATCAACATTAACTGAATAGATAATTAGATAATTTACCTTTACCGTCCGTTATACATCAACGCGCACGCGAAAACTATTCTGCACTTGGCAGATGCCATGCGCAGTGTATGTCTGCGCACGAGTAAAACGCCTATGCGCATGCGTTATGCGGCGCATGCGCAGAAAGATTTTCGCTTGGGTCCGGATTTAGATCTTCCGATACGGTGTCCGAATTAACGAATTTGACTGTACTTAGTAGGTACCCTTATTTTTTTACAACTTCACATCGACGTTTCGTGAGCTGAAAGAGTTTTGAGCTCTTCTTTCATTATTACATGATGCCAGGAAACAATTATACCTCAAATAGTTCCCCTTTTTTTAATGGGCGCCTCATTTGGACAGAGTGTTCAAACGTGCCAAAATTTTGACAGGTTGAGTCAGATGTTTCCTGACCATGACAACAATTTAATGCTCTTTGTACGAAACACTCTTTCGATATTTGGCCGTGTGGCAGGAGCAGATCCTGGCAAAATAACGAGTATTTGTTGGAAAGAGATCTCGATGGAAGGTAGAAGTTTGGTTCTGAATAGTTCAATGTATTTTATGGCATTCAGGTCCCATCGATGACAGAAAGGCGACCAATACCATCTCTGACATGCTTGACCAATCATAACCTAACTGGGTTATTCTTACAGTTGCTTGAATGAGTCAGATGTAGCTCTTCTCCTATTCTACATCTTACATATTTTGCCCATCACTACTGAATAACTATCTTAGTTTCATCACTCCATATAACTTGTGACCACTGATATTGTACATTAATGTGTTCCTGCCCACTATAGTCTGTTTTTTGTTTTTTTTTTCGTTGCTGAAATTAAGATAAGGCTTTTTTCGTGGAATTCTACATATCAGTCCAACATCGTTAACTTCTCTGATTGTTCTTGAACGACAGAAACCCAGCAGCATTAGATACTTTAATGGCTAATGACATTTTCTATTTGCAGACATAGCTTTTTATTCTTCTATCATCAATAGATGTGGTGCACCTTTTTCCGGACTTTTCCTTCTTGTTTTTTTGAATTGTTCTGATATAAACAAAAATTTCGGACTCCAGATGTAATCTGAACCACCCACCTGTCTTGCATTTCAGCATAGGAAAGACCACTTTCTGTAAACAATAATTAATCTCTTTCTAGGTCCAATCTACTCTTTTATTTGATGTCATGCTCTTGACTAAATATTAAAATTTTACAAAAATTCCTACTTGTAATTGCAGTGTATAGAACAGCCTCCTTCTACAGACAAAGCAAATAATGAATTTTTCAAGTGTAAAACATAGTTTCAGCTTCTATTGGCAGTACTACATTTGCTTGGCTCTTTTAGAACAGACAGTGATTGCCAGGAAGCTTACATTAAAAACACTTCAAAATGGTTTTTTTATTTATATTAAAGTACATATAACTTTTTTTTTGTATGCAAATAATTGAAGTTTGTGTTTGTATGAATCAGTAATAAATGCGCTTAAATGATATATACAGTTTGCATTTTGCGAAACGTAACATTTTCTATAGCATACAAAGTTTAAAAAACATAAAAATTTCCAAAAGTGTCCACAATTTTGGCCACCACTGTATATGCATAAATCTTGAAATATACTAAAATCATTAAAGCAGCAGCATATTATTAGGAAAAGAGTCAAGGCATAGGACAGCAAGGATATTTGAAATTCTAATCAGGAAAACATCCATCATATTAAACAATATATTATTTATTCAAGTATTAAGCATATTATTTAGGAAACATGGATATTAAATATATTATTTAGTCATAAATGTTTCAGGAAGTAAGCAGCCTCTAAGACAATTTCAGTTCATCCAAAAATTAAGAAATCTAGAAAGCCATGTATAGAAGACAATAATACAAAATTATGAGATCCAGGTATTTCACGTGTTACAAAAGTGTCATTTTTCAGAATTCAGTATTCTCTGCTTCAATAATGATTTATATCATTATATTACATGCATTTAAACACGAGAAAGATTTTTAAGAAAATAAATTTGGTCACAATGGGATATGAAATGGAAAAAAAAGAATTTCCTGACAGAAGGCATTCTAAGAGGCAAAGCATGGCTAGATCATGGAAATTTACTTTGTTTAAAGCAAGCAGGTAAATTAAAGTTTATACACTATTTTATTTTCTCAGTCTTGAAAAGCATATCTTCTGGGAAGGTTCTTTTAGAAAAACTGGCTTGAATATAATTTCTAACCATTAAAAGACAATACCGCATTAACCAAGAAAACTTATTTAATTTTATGGAAGTTCTGCGCTTTACTGGGATAATTTTACTGCTGACTTCCTAAATGAATATAATTGCTGCTTCCAGATACTAAAAATCCTTACACTGCAGTCATAATTACATTTTCTTAGAAAAGAAAGGCTTTTATTAATTGCAAAATTTAAGAAAATAATAGGGGAGGAAGGAACTTTATTCATTATAGTTAAACAAATATTTTTTTAAAGAAAGTATTGAATCTGCAAATGATAATAAGTAATTACACATCACTATACTAATTATGATTAACCAAAAATATTCATTGCAAATAAGCTCACTAAAGATCACCTATTCCACAAAAAAAGACTAAAATGCCACAAAAAAAAAAAAAAAAAAAAAAAAAGGTTTCTTATCTCTATCATGTATAAATAACAAAAATTCAGATTTACATAATTAATAAACATTTTAATCAGACGAGTTACCTTTCACATATCCTTTCATTACAATAACAAATACCCACAATAAATTAAATAAGAATAAGTAGCTCCAAATACAGTACAAAGGAATTTTATGAAAGCACATCGACTGAATTTTGAAACATTATATAATATTAACTAAGGCATTATTACTACTTTTATGACACTGAAGATAATTTTTAAAATTATTTTACAATTCATAATATGCATATGAAGTGAAGGATGGTTCAGTATATAAGTTACATACTGAAGAAACTTTAATTCCTCTGAAATTTCCAACATAAACTATATTAACAACATATTATTTGAATGCCCATAATTTATCACTGCAACACGTTCAGAATTTATAAGCATCATAATAAAAACAATAAATAGTAACTTACATTATATTGCATAGCCAGTTCAGCATTTGCATCAATATCCACTTTAGCTAAATGAACTTTATCATTTTTACTTCCAATAATTGTTTCTAACCTGGGCTCCAAAATTTTACATGGCCCACACCAACTGTAAATAAATTTCAAAGTATAAGAGCTGTGACAATATTATTTAAAAAGGTGACTTCAAATATAAAAGAAATGTAGTGTTCCTTCTTCAGATAAAATAAAACATTTTATTTCCACTTCTAAAAAAACTTGGCAATTGTTTAAACATATTTTAGAAATACATCCTTTTTTAGCATTTGTAAGAATTCATTTCAGTATTTTCGTTTGCAAATTAGAAAATAACACAAAATAATAAATTATTACAATATGAATATGACTGATTTGAAAGCAGTAGTTTAAAAATTTGTCCTGACAAATATCATATAGAAGAGAGATTGACGGTTTATTCAAATTGTTGGCAGGAATATAAAACATAGGAATTGGAAAAAGTAGTACTGTAAATCATACATTTCATATGGTTAATCTAACAGGTACTCACAAACAAAATATTGAAAGACTGTGGTACTTTGCTAAATAGTGGATGAAACACCCACAAGGCACGGGTGGAGTGGTGGTAGAGTTCTTGTGGCAAACACCTTAAGTCGATAAAATGCTTCCTATGCTACATTAAAAGCAACTCCGGAAATGTGGCAGCCAAAAAGTATATGTGATAAGTAAATAAGAACTTGGCATTTATAAACCAGGAGCTATAATAATATGGAAGTACCATTCTCTCTTATGAAAATGAACTTAAAAGCTTAATACTACATCAGAGCTTTTTTTTTTTTTTTTTTTTTTTAAAGTTAGCTATAAAGGGATATTTAAGAAAGCTGAATTATTGAGTCTGGCGATCTTTTAATATGGTAACTGGTAGTTGGCGACATGGAGGGCGTAAAGAACCTGGGACTTGAAATAATGTGAGCAATACTCAGTGCCGATTAGATTATTTGTGTGAGGGAAATGAGAGATCAGGGAATGTCATGTGATTTAATGGCGAATTCCTTTTTTTAATCGGAAAATGGGGGGGAAATCGAGAAACAATCTGGAATTTTGATTGGCTTTATTCTGTGTTGTGTGTGAAACAGTGTTCGTTAATTTTTGGATCCTGGCCCTAATAAGTGAATTCGAAATGGGTATTTAGGGGGATTGAAAGGGGTTAATAAGTGTTTCTTAGGTGTGCGAGATAGAAGTAAAGATGTTTATAAGTTTTATTTTACTGGTACCTGGTGTGAATAAATATATTTTAAAGATCCTGAACAGAAATAAGAAAGTTTATCGACCGTAATCAAGATGAAGAAGATAGGTTAAGTTAGATTTTAATTATTGAGGATATATCTTATGCAATTTCTAAAGTAGGGGAGTAACGGAATTGCTATCTTCATGTTCCTATTTAAATATTGACCTAAGTATTGTAACCATTGTAATGTTGCGGTATGATAGTTAGTGACTTTTTGTGATAATGATAATGTAGAGGAAAGTTTTTGGAATTTATTTGTATGGGGAAATGTCATTGGAAGGGTATACCTTTAGCGATCGGAATTTAAATGTTTTTTTACGGGGTTTAAAGATTCAGAAAACTGTTATGATTTTTTGAAATTTTTTAAATTATGAGAAAAAGCAGTGTACATGTATAGTGAAGAGCGTGCGCAATGCCATTTTGTGCAAATTGGAGTTTTTAAGTAAAAATAAGTCGACGTGTACATGGTTTAGTGATATTAATAATGATAGTTATTTTGTGAATTTTATGTTGTAGGAATTTGTATACGTTTAAGTTGAAGGAAACTGCAGAAATAATTTAAAATTGACACTAAGTATTTGTAATGCTTGCGGTTGAATTCGTTGGTGAGTATAATATAATAGATGATTTGAGGTAAAGTTTTGGATATTTATTTATTTATGTGGAGTTTCATATTGAAAGGGTATAAACTTTTCCCGATCAGTAATTTCATATATGTTTTTTTACGGGTTTAAAGATTCAGAATTGTCAGTATTTTGTGAAATTTTCTAATTTATGAGAAAACGCCTGTACATGGATTATCGTGAAGAGGTGCTCAATGCATTTTGTGTAATTCTGGGATGTTTTTTTTAGTAAAAATAAGTTGGCAGTAATGTTAGTGTATGTGTTATTTTGAAAAATGCGTAAGGAGTATGGTATTGTGCACTTTTTCCCAATTTTGCAGTGAATGTTTGTCATGATTAAGCAGTTTTTTCATTCATTTTTCAAATTGCGTTTGGAAAGTGTATTCCTAGAAAAAATTACTTGTTGGCTTGGATATTCTGAAGTCTCAAGAGTAAATAAGCGTTGTAAATCATACCAGAAAAATTTTTTTTTGGTTCTGCTTGATTATTCTTTATTACTGGAGACTTTTAAATAACTTATCATGTAAAGATGTGAGAAGTGTATAAATTTAAATATTTTTTTAAACAAATATTCTCTATTCATAAAAAGATAATATAAAAAATTTCGGCTCTACTCTTATATGCACCCTAATATCACCAAATGTGGCGATATGTGTTTTGTGCTGGTTTTTAGCATGATTGTGTGTTGTATGGCAACCCTGTTGACGTTGAAAAATCTTTTGCTGGAGTAGTTTAATTATCGTTGGTTCGTATGGTGCAATGAGAGACATGGTGGGAAGATTTCAGTTGTGTATTTTAGATTGTGTGCAAAGGAAATTTAGTATTAAAAGGTACGATGTTGGAGTTGTTTACGAGTCTGCTCTGTGTAATGCCCTGTGTCTGAGAAGATAGGGGGGAAAGATAAAATGGTGGAAGTTGATGAATCAAAGTTCGGCAAAAGGAAATATCATCGTGGCCATTCTGTTGAGGGGCAGTGGGTAGTTAAAGAGCCTGGTGCAACTATTTTTACGGATGGATGGAACTCTTACAAGGATTTAGGAAAAGAAGGTTTTGAACCATAATATGAATTTTCTGGATAGTATGTCTGGCTGTCATATACATAGGATTACATAGTGTCATGTTAAAGGCGGTTTGACATTGGTATTTCTGCTGTTCGAAAAAGCATTCATTCATGG